CAGAGCTGCATATTTGTTATGGGCTTCAAATATTTTGTCATTATAAATAAACTAACTTCTTTTTGTTTCACACTGTGGATAAACACGAAATACAGTTCGCTACGTGAAACGTTAATCTTAAAATAAATTCGTTTACGATTCGTTTGTTGGACATCTTTACAATCATAAATACATAATAAACCTTTTTTATAATATAAACCTTTTAAAAATTGCATCGAGGTTTGAAACTAATTAGAGTAAACGTGCTTTTTCATTTTAACTAAAGCTAATGCTGAAATATTACAGTTTAAATACGCTTTGGTACTGCAACTTTAACCCGAGGACACTTTTACGTACGTCTCAAGCCTACTTATGTCAGAGTTTTACAGAAAAATATTTTAGCGACACAATTTTGAATTGGGTACCCGAGAATTCAATCTAAATTTCATTTCTAAGATCTCATCAGCTTCAGCGAGAGGTTGAGAAACTTAGAAGTATACGGCTTTACGGAAGAAAAAATATGACACAAGAGTTAAAAAAAAAAAGGGAAAAAAAGAAAGACATCCTCATAAACCTGAAATCTAAGCGATTTTCACAAATTCTCATCAAATAATTTCATCTAGAAAACACTTCTTTCTTAATCAGTCACACCTTCCTTTCAGAATTGGGTCGGTATTTTTCCCCCACATCCATTTCTGCGGTGGAATATGCGGTTTTAATTTCTATTAATTGGCTCACATGAGACTCTTTCTCTTCGTTCCAAATGAAAGCACAGCTTGAAAAAAGAAATAACTTGCTGATGTATGTGGTTCCGGGATTGGCAAGCAAGCATGGCGAAATCTTTGAAATAGATGGCCGAGAATGTCTATTAAAAGGCGGATTAGAAATATGAGGATCCTGGATGAAATCTTACAAAATTACGGTTTGGGAGTTCTTTCTATCAAAGAATTTGAGGAATGCTCCAATAAAACAAAAATAATCTCTTGAAAAATTTCATTTGCATTAAACAACTTTAATGCATTTGCTTTTCAATATGTATAACAGTGTTATTTGCATACATACAATGAAATAAAAATTAACCTGTTTTCATTTCAGAATGTACAAAATCATCATTGATTCAAAGATCTTCACATATAAATTAGGATTTTCTGTGCTGTCACATGTGCTAAGCTGTTAGGGATAAAAGAACGTAGGGGAAATTTTGAGTTGTAAATAACTTAGTTTTTTAAAAATCATTAAATAACTATAGTTTTATAATTTGCTTAGGTTTGCATGCTTCCAATTTTCAAGAACATGCAGATATAAATCAAGATTTTTTACATTCCTAGTGACTTTACAAAGTCACCGCCATTACAGCTTCATACGACTTCCTTTTGTTGCTCCTTTGCTTTTTACATCATTTCATGAATCCCGGAGCATTTAAAAAACAACAATCGCTAAGTAACTAGTTGTACCTACCCAGATACATCTTAATCACCGATGTTGTTATATACTTACTTGAATACTGCAATTTCTAATAAAAGCATTAAAGAGTAGCGTATGAAAGAAAATTTGTGAGAAGCAAAGATAATTTCCACTCGCGTAACCGGTTGTTGTAATTGCTCTTGTCCTCTTTAGTTTTTTTTTTTTTTTTTTTTTTTTTTTTTTTTTTTTTTCTTTTATATCTTACTTCATTCATATGAATGATTTTGATGAAAATAAAGTGGTTTTGGTGTTTACACATTTACAAAGGGTGTTTATACATTTTTACAACGACTTCCATAAAAAGTTTTAAAAAGAAAATATTTTGGAATAAACATTTCTGGCAGCAAATTATTGTTTGGAAAGAAAACGATCGTTACGCTACATTTAAAAGCATTCTTCTTTCAAAATGTCGCATCTAAACAAGCTGTGGGTTGATGGACATGTTTGCGCTTCCCGAAATTAAATATATATCCGTATTCCATAAATCAAAAACTTTTTAAACGGTATTAAAATTTCTAAGTGCAGATTAAGCAGCATTATTATCGGAGAGGAAAAACCGCCATTCTACATGGATTGAAGATTCCAAACGAATACCCGAAAAAGGTACGTACTGTTTCTAACGTATCTAAAGTTCAATCGTTTGTAATAACAAGAAATTCGCTGGCGCAGAAATCAATTGCAAAGCCTTTAAATTCATTTGTAGCAACAATAGATAAAATAATATACCAAGATTTACAATTTAAAAAAGCTAAGAAACATAATATTCGCATAGGCACGTGTCTTAACGCAGAGTAATTTATAGTTAAAAGTGAAGCTATACGCCATGTGGAATAATTAGGTTTGTCGATGCAGCAGACAAGAAAATAACCTGGCCGGGATTCGAATTCCAGACCATTCGACTGCTACCCGGACGTGCTTTCCGATTATACAACGAGAGGACACGATAAAGAAGGAAAACACCTTTACATCTGTACTGATTTAAATGTCTGATTTCCCTAAATAATGCAGGTAGAGGTTAATTAACTCGTAAATTATCTTTGTTATCTTTGTTAATTAACTCGTAAATTATGCGGTATAGTCTATTAAAACTTTTAGTTAAGTTGTGCCTCTTATTTGCGTTTCAGAAGTTTAGTTATGAAGATATTAATTCGATGAATATTTTAGGAAAGCTAAACAAGTAGTGTTAGATAACTAATTAGGTTCGAACTCACAAATGAATAAAAGTAAAAATATATGCATGCATGTGGATATGTATATTTACATACATCCATGCACAATCACATGCAAACACATTCATATACATACATTTTTAACGTTATATATATATGAAAGGACTAAATATTATTAGCTATTGAAGATGGAGACATATGTAGTCATGGCCAGTTGAGCATCTCCTTTTATTTTCGACATAACGAATTGATGCAGGTAAAGATAAATGTACACTGAAAACACCCTTATTCTTTAATAAATTTTCACATTTCTTACAGAAAGAAGGAAAACAGGCGACAGGAAAGAGATGAGTCAGAGTTGCAGAGAACGAATGTAATGTATCCAAGATGAAAACCCGGCTCGGAATAAATCAGTTTTGGTTTAGCTTTATTTTGTTTGCTTAATTTTAAGTTTTGGTTGAAAAATTTGAAATTATTAGTTGTTGAAGCAGATTAGATAAGTATCTGCATCATTAGCAGTATGTAAAAATCATATGATATAGCTTAATTTTGAATAAATGCAGTTTAGAGAGATTTATTGTAAGCAGTTATTATTTTTAGAACATAAAGGGGAAAATAAAGGATCTATTTCAAATTAAAGTCAGCATTTTGTTTTTCCTATTTCTTTTCATGTTTTATGTATATATATATATATATATATATGTGTGTGTGTGTGTGTATAAACTGCTGCATATCTCTGTATATATTCACCTACTGCATATCTATCTACATAGTCAATGTATGCAATATAAGAAAGAAATCAACGCCAAGTAATCTCAGAACCTTTTCTGCACGCGTAGTCGAATAACTCAAAATTAAAATAAGTAATAAAAGAATAAAAGACGTAAAATTGAAACTGTCTATCATGCGTCATCAGTTTTGGCGATATTTTATAAAATATTTTCAGACGGTATATATTTACTCTATTTATTCACTGTGGTGTATTGTTTCAATACTGCAGTTCAGTGCTTCTGTATAGAAACGCTTATTATCTTGCACCTTATTATTCTTTTTCCTTCTTTTGCATCATACAGGAAATGATTAATTTTATATATAAATAAAATATTTCAAATCCATGCTAATTACTAACTGCTCTAAGAAAAATTAAGATTATATTCCGTAATATTCATTACTAAAATTAATTAATTCTTAGCTTCAGCATAAATGTTTAGCGCCCTATATATCGCTAACCAAGTTACGAACATATTTATCCCCTAAGGAAGTCGACAAAGACGAGAGAGTAGAGACTCTCGACTTCCTTAAAGTATATATATATATATATATATATATATGTTCGTAAATTGGTTTTTCAGTTGCAGAATTCTTTGCTCCTGATGAAGAGAGACTTTATATTCACCCTCGAAGTCGACAGAGTTGCTATGCTAAATATCTATGCCTAACACAGGTTGTTGCTCCACTTTTACGATTTATTTGTTTAACATTCATCTGCTTAAATATGGTTTTAAAAATTTTGTATCAACCTTAGTCTGAGGCAGATTTCAAAGGAAAATGTGCAATAAATTTCTAAAGATTATCTAGCGGTGGTCTCTCTTCATCGGAGAATTTACTTGCTTTTATAATTATTTTATTTGACTCTTACCATAGTTTCTTTCGAAATTCTTAAATATTTATATCCTTTTAAATTCATTTTCAAATTAAAAATAAAATCTATTCGGATTTAAAAGTGTGTTTGCTTACAGCTATCGACAGAATACATTATCTTTAGATATTCTCTCAGTATTCGATTTTAAAAGTGATTTGGAGTTTCAAATTAATAAACTAATGAATATAAGCATTTTTTCTACTAATCGTGCGAACTAATCAAGAAAGACTTTATTTAAAAAAACTTCCTGCATTGAATTTCTTTACGTCCCATATTTTAGTTCATCCCGATAAACTTTCTCCCTTACGTTTTATCTTCGAATTAGCTTCAAAATAATTATGAATATATAGCAGGAAATATTGGTAAATAGAAATTTGAAAATATTATGGATGCAACATTTATGGGCTGCTACGCTAGTTACAAATTTAAAAAAAAATAAAAATATTCAATGCAACTGATATACATAGGATAATATAATCTATTTTTAGTTTAACATAAAAAATAATACGTGTATCTCATGTCGAAAATTAAAGATTAAATCTCGGTAGAGAAAAGGGGCTTACAGTTAGCAGAATTTTTCGTAAATTTAATTTTAAAGAGTTGTCATATTTGTTTATATCAGACGGCGTGAATTCCCTAGTGGAATCTGTCACTAGAAATTAAGGAAGAAGCAATGCTTTTACAAATAGTTTTGCAATGTTTTTACATCGTCATAAAACAGAAGGGAAAGCAAGGAAGAAACTTACGGAACGGGCACTTCGATCTTCTTCTTTACAATGATTTGTTTGTAGACCGGAACTTTGACTGGATAGTGGAACGGTTTCGGAACTTTGATCACCTTATGCACGGGTACGGGAATATATTTAGGCACCTTGACTGGAAAAGGCACCGGTACTGGTTTGGGCACCGGAACCGGTTTGTAGATGGGCACTGCTTCGGTCTTCAGAACCGGAAATGGAACCGCTATTGGCACAGCCTTGGGAACGGCTACGATCTTCGGTACTGGAATGGCCTTGGGTACATTTATTATTTTAGGGATTGTCTTCACGACTGGTACCCTAAATGGCACCGGTACATGGTGTGGCACATGTATAGGTTTCGGTATAGGAATGTACTTCGGTACCGGATACGGCTTAGGTACTGGTACTTTGTGATATACTGGTACCTCTTTGTGCACCACTTTGATGATTGGCTCTGGCTGAATGTAGTTTTTCCCACTAACTACTGTTAGCACCACAGTAACCAAAAGCGTCAAAATTGGTCCATGTCTCATTTTGAAAAAAAGCTAAAATAAATAAGATAATATTAATTAATAAAACAATTAAACAAGATGTTTGACGAGTTTAAAATATAGCATTAATAGAATAGTAAAATTGTAAAAAATCAGATAATATTAAGTACTGTCTTTGTCATGCAACTATATATTCGCGCTTTGCGTGCATTCCGACATCTTTTATTCCTTCAATGCTTATTTGTTTTCGCGAAGATTAGTAAATCGAGAATAACTGAAACAATGGATAGGGGGACAATTTTTATGCACTGAGTATCCTCAAAATCTGTCTCTAATTGCAGGAATCAGTCGGGATTTAGACATCGTTTTGATATTTTACTATATATGTTCAAATTAATAGCCTTTTCCTTCTGAAAAATTTTAATTTGATTAACATATTAATCATTTTCTTGAACAGCTTTCTTTAAAATGAAAGTTGCTGTCGAAATTTCTGGATCAACCCCGTTTAGATCATTTTTGGTATCCGAAGCTTAAAGATGCTTCTGTTAATCATCGTAGAATAATGCAGATATTAAATGACGCAGTACCAACATAATTTAAAGCCGTAGAAATGGATTCGTTCATACTCAAGATTGTGAAAAACTATCACATTAATCCGTCTAGAAAATATAAATTAAAAATTAAGTAGATAACATTTTTAAAATGCTTTGTAAATGATGAATTAAGTAACAAAATTATGTGTAGCTAATCACATCTTTTATGCTTTTCTTATATAAGTCTATTTGCAGGGTATCCTGAAAATTAAAAAACGTATCTAAATCCCACGTCTGCAAGACAGACTAGATATCTATCTAAAAACTGGAACTCAGTTCGGATACAAACTCCAACGATGCCAAATAAAAAAGAATAAAATATGATAAGAGAATTCAATGATGGACTCAATTGATTATAAATGGCATACTGAACACGAAATAAGACATGGTAATAGAAATTTTTAAAAATTAAGCTTTCTATCTATACATCACAGACGAGTTGTCATGCAGATAAGCAGGGTAACCATTCGGAGATCCTCAAGAAAATAAAAATAAAATTTCCACTACTCATGATTGATGATAACTACTCAAAATTTTGCATAACATTTCGATTGATACTAAGTTCTAAATAGCTCCTTCGTCATTGACTAATTATCTAAAAACAGAAGGGAATATCCTTCAGGAGTGGCAAAAAGAAGATGATTTTCTCATCAAGCTACCATAGAATTTGAAGTGCTTTTTACGGTAGAACGCTTCGTCAAAAGAATCTGGGTCATTTATGATCTAACGGGGGCAAAACGCGCAGCAAAAGAAATTACAAAATAGCAGAAGAGCTTTAAAATCATGGATGAATGTAAATAGGAAAATTGTTGTATTCACTTCTGTTTGACGTTGTACAGATCTCTGATATTCATTCTATAAGCCTAATTTTGTGTTTGTGAACAAAAAGAAAACAAATAGCTATAATAAGTGTTAGCCTGTGATTACTATTGCTGATCGATAACGTCTAATTTTAAAATCAAAGCGCTGCTAGATGGCTGCAAGGCGTTTGAAGACTGCACGCGAAATTGTTTAAAAATAAAAGAAAGAAAGAAAATTGTGTGAAGGAATTCATTAAATTTATTTCTATAAAATGCTCTAGGAAATCAAGCTTGATTTTTCAATTCAGAGTATTGTTTTATTCGAAACGAAATGCACGTAAGCATGAATGACAAGAAGAACTTGTACATTTCTAGTTATCATTTAGGCCGATGGTTTCCACTGCAGGCTCGCCGACTGAATATGGCAAAGCTGAGGAAAAATTTGATAATGATGTTTACTTTCTTATGTGTATATATTTTGGTAAATTTTCCAGTAAAGTATAGCGCACGCTCACGTTTTTAGCGACAGCTAAAAATATACTAGATGAACTTGAAGCTTCGTATAAGGCAGTATTAATAGTCTGTCTAATAGGAATTGCATTTTAAAATGTAGTATATTTGAACAAGTTTAACATATTTAAATTTAAATGTAATATATGTTAGATAAATACAGTTTTTGTATTCAATTTGAATTCATTCTACGTGGATATAGAATTATTGTTTAAATAAAAAGACGTTGCGTGTCCCGGGGCCCGAGAATAGATTAAATGTACCTCCATACGTTCTAAAATCAAACACCTCTGATCTGTACTATAACAGCAAACAATATGAGAAAAGAATAAAGAACTGCGCATTGGAAGACATTTCACTGTAGGAAATACAGCCAAAAATGTTGACATTGTTATTAAGATTATTAGGGAAATGCGTCTAGAAAACTGCGTTTGTGGCGACATTAGGAGACAGCGGGAAGAAATCACCAAATTAAGAATAGATGCAAAATAGCATTGAATTTTAGTATCACTTGCTAGAAATACTGCTGCATATTTTAGAGTAGTTTTATTATTTAATGCGAAACACGAATCAAATTCTTATCACTGTTGCCAACCTTAAATATAAAAACCGAGAAATTCTCCCACGAAAACTACGCGTTTCTGGGAGGTTACTGCACTCTGCGGTCACGCAATTTCAAAAGAACTCCAAAATGATATAAATTCTCTTTAAAACCGATTGAGCTATTTGTAATTTTATTTTTGTGTAATATATATTAATATTTAATTCGATATTATAAGTTTTATGTTCTTTGATTTTATAATTATCTTACATGTTAATACTGAAAAAATTCTGAATAGAGACGAAAAGCTATATTAAAGGACTTTTAAATATGCTGAAAATAAAATTGATAATTTAACTTACATATTATTGTGTGCATACTCTTAATAATGTACCATTTACTGATATAAACAAAATTAACACAAATATTAAATAATTTAATGTTGGTTAAATCTTCATAAAAAACGTCTACGAGTCTCTACAGAAGATAGAGTTAATTCAGATCAAATTATACATAATAAGAAAAATTATGTTGAAAATGACTAGGGGTGAGGAAAAGGAATTTGTTGAAACAATTTCCTGAGACCATTTTTCTCAATGAAAGCTAGAATATTAAAAACCTGAAGAGTCGATGATCCGACCAGAGACCGGGGAATACGATGAAAAGCCAGGAGTCTCCCAGTAAAGCCAGAAGAGTTTGGCAGCTGTGTTATATTCTTAATTCTTTAAGAAAGTTCAGTAATGTAAAAATAAAAAATACTTTACATATTTATTTAAGTGCATTACGGGACTTAAGTACGAAAACTGAGTATATTGGATTGAATTACATCTTTCTCCCTAAAATTATACTCATCCTAGCACTGGAATATTGAAATTAAACATAGGTTATTTTGGGAAACATTTTCTGTGATTGCGAATCCGGCAATTTAAACAGTTAATCCTATACAGTAGATTTTGTGTAAGACAATAACAGCTGCAACAATTAATTCTAACTACCTTATTTACACTCATGCCCGAAACTGAAGGTTTCGTCCGAATGCAAATTTGCCACTATGTTACAGAAATCGAAGGCAGTGTGCTATCTGTCTGACTGGAAGCAATAATAAAACACCATTTTTCCCGGCAAAGAGATTTAACCGCTTTTAGTCAGTTCCGCTAAAGTGGAATTCGAAATTAATTAGCGCATTATTATTGTTTTTTTACCTCCAAAAGTGAATAGAAGCCACCCAGATGACATTCTTGTTATGATCACCAAGAGAATGGTGGCTGGAACGGTCATATATATGTATTCCACGAATTTCATCAAGTGATGTTCATATTTATAAACTTCGGAGACGATTGCAAACTAAGATATAAGAAGGGAACACGATAGAGATAGTCCATTAGTCATAACTGCACAAATGGTATCGGAATCTAATATCGAGGTTCTTATGCCATACGATTGTCACAGCAAATAATACTAGTTGAAGAACCATTGGCAGCCTTTAGAATCACCACGTGCAGACAAATATGACAGCACATAGTGATTCTAAAGGCTGTTGATGGCTTCATAAGGCAGGTTTGTATGCAAGACGGAGCAGTGAACGCAATCCTTCAATTCGGAAGTAATTTCCGTAACAGCTGAACGTAAAAACGACTAGAACTGGGATCATTAACAAGAACTGAAAGATTTTAATGAATATAAAACGCTTCTAGAAAATATAATTCGCCAACTGATGATGTTTTTTGAATAATTTTAGCTGCTGTAAAATGAAAAATGTGATTTTCTGACTGAAGAGTTGGGCAACAGGGTAAAAGTATCGACAACGTAGCGGAACCACCCCAAAAGTTTAAAGTTTCAAATAATTTTGATTCATAATAATGCATTTAGATATCAGATTAATCCCTGAGTTTGTGTGTAAAAGCTATTTTGAAAAAATGTGTGTTTGTTTCAGACAGGAGGGCAGTGAGTAAGGCAAATTAATTCATCAGTTTCGATACAAGAGCAATAAAATTCTCGAAGTCTCCTTTGTAGGAATTTAAGAACACCTTCCACTGTAACGCCGGGAAATAATGGTTTTACATCAAAAAGAAATCATGATGAAATTTCTATGGGAAGTTCTCTTTACTTTTTTATAAACTCTATTTAATTTTTTATGATGTAAGTGTTATTAACTATCAAAGTCGAAAATATGGAATCTTTTACCCTGTTTGATGCTAAGAAAGACGATTTAGATGAAGTTCTTCCAATAGTGAATTCCATTGATTTTGCCATTCAATTCACTTTTGAACCTGAGATATCCAATTCTCTTTCGTTCCTTGACATCTTGGTCACACGCAACATATCCAACTTCAAGACTACTCTTTACCGTAAACCTTCATTTGCTTGCCTTCACTTCAAATTGTGTATTCGACCAAATTTAGCTTCATTTTATTCTTTCATTTTTCGTGCACTTCAAGTTGGCTCCTCCAGATCGGCTCTTGATCAATGAACTAAATTACATGGGAGCAGTTACTATTGACAGAAGGTTTTCATTTGACATTATTGATCAAAACAGTTAGAAAAGTCTTATCTCAATACATAAAAAAGCACCCATTCGTTTTAGAAGATTATTAGAATTCTGATGTCCTT